CCCCTAAAATCTGCCTAGGGTCTGATAGAGTAGCTTACTACAGAAGTGACTCAAATCTGATTCATGGATTTCAATGGGAGTATTTTTAGAGGGGCTTCAAAGCTTGTTAGTTTAATTTTTTTTAAAGTTAGTAATAATAGCTGTAAGTTTATTGATTATACTAGTTACTATGCTCTACGCCCTGTGCTAAGGGATATAATCAATGTAAAATGCATTCAGCATAATAGCCAAGTAATAAGCGCCTGTACTCCCCACCTACTCGGGAGGCTGAGGCAGAGCAGTTATTTGAACCTGGGAAGCAGAGGTTGCAGTGAGCTGAGATTGTGCCACTGCACTCCAGCCTGGGTGACAGAGCAAGACTCCATCTCAAAACAAAACAAAACAAAAAAATTGTTACTCACCATAAACCTAAGCAAAGTACCCTGTAAGAAAGCAAATCCAGCTCTATAGTGACTGGTGACTAGATCCTTCCACCTGGCCTCTACTTTCTTTTCTTTCTTATTAATACTAACAATATATGTAATTTTGTTTCATTCTCAAAACCACCAAAGGTAGGAGCTGGTATCCTCATTTGTAGATGAGGAAACCAAAGCTCAGAAACATTGAGAAACTTGCCTGAGTTCACTTAACAGGGTCAGGGTTAGAATTCACATCTGACCCCCAAAGCCTGCGCCTTAGTTGTTACATTTTGCTGCTTTCAAGTGACTTGATCAGTAGCACCATGTACTAATTCTGACCTAATTACATGAGAATCCAACAGGGTTATTTTTCTTTTTTTAATTTTTTTGGAGACAGAGTCTTGCTCTGTCACCTAGGATGTAGTACAGATGTGCAACCATAGCTCACTGCTGTAGGCTTGACCTCCTGGGCTCAAGTGATACTTCTGTCTTAGCCTCCTGAGTGGCTGGGACTACAGGGTACGTGCCACCACACCTGGCTTTTTTTTTCTTTTTCTTTTTTTTAAGATGCAGTCTTGCTCTGTTCTCTGGGCTGCATTGGTATGATCTTGGCTCACTGCAACCTCTGCTGCCCAGGTTCAAGTTATTCTCTGACCTCAGCCTTCCAAGTCGCTGGGATTATAGGCCCGTACCACCACACCCAGCCAATGTTTGTATTTTTAGTAGAGACAGGGTTTCACCATGTTGGCCAGGCTGGTCTTGAACTGCTGACCTCAAGTAATAAACCCACTTGGGCCTCCCAAAGTGCTGGGATTATAGGCATGACCCACTGCACTTGGTGTTTTTTTTTTTTTTTTTTTTTTTGTAGAGACAGGGTCTTGCTTTGTTGCCCAGGCTGGCCGTGAACTCCTCGGCCAAGTGATCCTCCTGCTTCAGCCTCCCAAAGTGCTGGGATTACAGGCGTGAGGCCCTGTTCCTAGCCAGCTGGGTTATTTTTCATTCTGTCTTGTATACTTGCCTCAGTACTTACCATTGGCTCTGAGAACTGGAGAGGGGCTGCTCTGCTGCTAGGTCCGGTTCACTCTTATCAGGACCATTTGCTGTGGATTTACAGAGTTGACTCTTCTGGTGTTGGCGGATCATTTCTGCCAAGGTCTCTTGGACTTCAGCAACAGTTCTCTGTGAGTTTTGGAGACTGGCATGCTTTTCTGAAAGGAGCGCCTTAAATGTGCTCAGTATTCGCTCACCTTCTTCTGTGAGTTTCAAGTCTAGTTCTGAAGGCCTGCTTGGCTCTGGCTGAGAAGTTTCAGGGTCAGTTTCTTCAGTGCTGATAGTGTCTAACTGCTGGCTTGGCTCAACAGAGAGTGTGCTGTGACCAAGCCTAACCCAGACACTGGAATTTGGGCAAGGCCTGGAGAGAGACCACCAGAATTCATACAGACGCCCATAAAGAAAAAAGGCCTCCAAACTTCTGAAAGCTGGTATGGCAGGGGATTGATGGTCACCCAATTTGTCTTTTAGGTGGTCACAGCCTAGGAAAAAAAGAAAAAGATTTTGGGTTGTGCGTTTCTCTAGTTGCCAGAAATCTAGCTTTCTGTCCTTATGTTCTAATTCTTATCACCCAAGAAGCATACTCCAAGAAAAAAGATAATGGTGTGATCCACAGGGCCACATGCCTTTCCACCAAGAGCCAACTGGGGGCTAAACAGTTCCTGGCTTGGGACAATGTTCTCATTACTACATCCTGGGAGTCATTCAAAGCATGACAGAGTATTCCATTTGTTCTACTGAAGGCTCTGGGGCCACACTGAGGTAAGATCACACTGTCTCTCTGAAAAATCACAATGATTTAGTTCAGTGACTGACTGTGCAGCTCAAGGAATGTCTACCTTTTTGCTGTTCTTACTATAACATGTAACTATATTCCTATTTCTCTCTCCCTTAAACTGACTGTGTGGAAAGTGGACAGGAGGCACTAAGGGGGTAGGTCCAGGTAAAGGAAAACAGTGTAGCTGTTCTTAAGAGTATGGGTAAGAGAATTCAAACTTTCTACTAAAATGACACAGCTGGCCAGTCCCCATCTTTTTTTTTTTCTTTTTTTTTCTTAGCTATACTGCATTAGTCTCCATCTGTTAATAATCTCAGTACTCTCAGTGCCACACCACTAGTGGTGGTGATGCTGTCCATTAAAGCATGCGCCTCAGGCAGCGGGGAGTCATTTACCGTCAGGGAGAAAGGCTGAGTACACTTCCTGCATGATGGTGAAGCTCCCCGAGTCATAGCTCCGGACCACTGCCCGAAGGAGCGCCTGCACAGCCTCGTCCCAGGAGGCCATCTGCTGGCTCAGCACTGCCAGGGTCAAGTCATGGCAAATGTGAAGCAGGAGCTGGGGAGAGAAGCCAGAGTCTGAGTTAAATATCCTCACAAAGTAGGTGCCAAGGATGCCACCAAACTGTTCCTATTAACCACAGATGGAAACAAGTACACACAATTCACACTTACGAAAGTTCCTCTTGTCTCCACCACCCATTTTTGTTTTCCCCGTCAGAAACTCTCATGTCTAGCTGCACAGCAACACACATATACCGCTGTTAAAGTCTGAGGAAACACCTTTACATTTGCATTTAATTAAAACAAAAAGTGAGTTTCTAGAACTAAAAGCTATAATTAAAAACAAAATAAATGCTAGGTGCAGTGGTTCACACCTATAATCCCAGCACTTTGGGAGGCTGAGGTGGATGGATCACCTGAGGCCAGGAGTTCAAGACCAGCCTGGCCAACATGGTGAAAGTCCGTCTCTACAAAAATCCAAAAATTAGGTGAGCATAGTGGCATGCATCTGTAATCCCAGGTACTTGGGAAGCTCAGGCGGAAGAATCATTTGAACCTGGGAGACAGAGGTTGCAGCGAGCCAAGATCATGCCACTGCACTCCAGCCTGGGCGACAGAGTGAGACTCCGTCTCAAAAAATGAATAAATAAAATAAATAATTAAAACAAAGCTTGGAGTATAACTAAGAAAAATGTGATCAATTTTAAGTATGTAGTTTGATAAATTCTGAGAAACACATATAGTTCCATTAACTACCAGCAAAATCAAGACAGCGTTTTCATCAACTGAAGATACTCCCACTGGCTCCTCTGCAGGCGATCCCCTGGCCCCACCCCAATGGCAACCACTGAGCTGGTCGTTTTGTCACTTTAATTTTGTCTTTTCCAGAATTCATATAAATGAACCACAGAGTATATGGTCTTTTGTGTCTTTAATGCTTTCGAGATTCACTGATATTATTTGTGTGCCAGGAATTTGTTCCTTTTTACTTTATTTTTCTTGACACAGGGTCTCATTCTATTACCCAGGCTGGAGTGCAGTGGTGCCATCTTGGCTCACTGCAGGCTCTGTCTCCCAGATTTGAACGATCCTCCTGCCTTAGCCATCTGAGTAGCTGTGATTACAGGCTTGCACCACCACACCCGGCTAATTTTTGTATTTTTAGTAGAGATGGGGTTTCATCGTTTGCCCAGGCTGGTCTCGAACTCTTGAGCTCAAGTGGTCCACCCGTTCTGGCCTCCGAAAGTGCTGGGATTACAGGCGTGAGTCACCAAGCCTGGCGCTTTTATTGTTAAACAGTACAGTATTTCGTTGTACAGACACAATACAGTTTGTATATCCACTCAACAGTTGTTGGACATTTGGGTTGTTTCTAGTTTTGGGCTATTGTGCTAGGCTAAGTTGCTATACACACTTGTGTACAAGTCTTTGTATGGCCATCTGATTTTATTTTTTTAGGAGAATATCTGGGTAGTAGAACTGCTGGGACATTTGGCATGTGCATGTTTAACTTAATAAGAAACTGCCTGGCTGGACACAGTGGCTCACGCTTATAATCCCAGCACTTTGGGAGGCCAAGGCAGGTGGATGACATGAGGTCAGAAGTTCAAGACTAGCCTGGCCAACATAGTGAGAAACTCTGTCTCTACTAAAAATACAAAAAATATTAGCTGGGGGTGGTGGTGTATGCCTGTAATCCCAGCTACTTGGGAGGCTGAGGCAGAAGAATTGCTTGAACCTGGGAGGCAGAGGTTACAGTGAGTAGAGATCGCACCATTGCACTCCAGCCTGGTCGAAAGATTGAAACTCCGCCTCAAACAAAACAAAACAAACAAAAAAGAAATTTCCTGTTTTTCAAAGTAGATACCATTTGAGAGGTCTTGTTCCTCATAAATATAATGTTGCCCCATTTTAAAATGAGGGAAAGAACTATGCCAGGCATAGCGGTTCATGCCTATAATCCCACTACTTTGGGAGGCTGGGGCGGGAGGACTGCTTGAGGAGTTCGAGACCAGCCTGGGTAACAGTGAGACCTAGTCTCTACAGAGGAAGAAAAAAAAGAAGTAGGTATATTCACAAGACAGACACAGCAGTTAATATAAATCAGCTGATCTCTTTATATCAACATGGACAGATTTTAACAAACAATAGCTTCTGAAATAAGCAAACTGAAAAATTATACATGTAGTACTGACACAGGAGTTACCTTTGGTGAGCTAAGGAAGCAGTGAAGGGCTGAGGAAGGGAACAAGGACTTCAACTTTACTGTACTGTTTTATTTTAAAAAGTACTCAAATAGGCCGGGCGCGGTGGCTCAAGCCTGTAATCCCAGCACTTTGGGAGGCCGAGGCGGGTGGATCACAAGGTCAAGAGATCGAGACCATCCTGGTCAACATGGTGAAACCCCATCTCTACTAAAACTACAAAAAATTAGCTGGGC